GACGTGCTATAGAAGGACTATAAAATTTTTTCTTTGGTTACTATAAAACGAAAGTCTATCCGAGGAGGGTGGGTGGGAACACTTGGAGAAGTAGGTAGCGCGCTTGCCTCCGAACCAGCAGGTCCCCGAGTTCGATTCCTGGTGTTACTAGGTCCCAGTAAATTACCCTTTGCAAAAAAAGTCCACAAGACCAATTTAAATTTAAATTAAATTTAAACTACTAGATAAATAGTTAAATGATTTATTTCAACGTGAGCAGAAAGTACAAAGTATTTATACAAACCCCAGAATGCACTAAATATATATATAATCAGCGTTACAAAAACGAAATTATACTCAAGTTGGTCGATATACACGATACATACTTAATACATGATAATAAAACAGTAAAACCATGTTAGCTACAAAAGGATCCTTTTCAAATTTGAACAATTATTAAAGAAAAGTTTATAATATCTTCAAGGTTTTGGTCAGGATTGAAAAATAAAGCATATTGATGATAAACCTTTTCATACTCTTAAACTTTGACGTTCATATATATACCTGTATTATAATTGAGTGCAAATTGCATCGAGGTTAATTTCAATCAAAATTCTACTGTGTGGACGATATCGGCATTTCAAAATGGTGTTCAGTGTTTAAAAAAAACACTCAGTAAAGATAAATTATCAGGGCGTGGGACTGGCAACTATCATCCCTCTCGAAGTCGATAACCCAGGGATCCCGACCAAAAAAAAAAATGCATTAAGAAAGTGCTAGGTGCAAGACCGGCCAAACTGAATAAAACGTTCACCTGCAAATTATTTGTCAAAGTTTTAGAAAAAGAAAATGCTACGAAAAAAGTGAGTTTTAACAATGATTCAGCGAATTCCCAAGTTACTGACCAAAATGTAACAAAAGCCGAACAATAATGTTCAAAATATATAAAAAAAACGTTAATGAGATTCTCCTTAAACGTTTTTATATTGACCCTTAGATTGTAACATTTTGTTCGGACAAAACTGACAAAAGTTGACAATCAAAAATTATCACCGAATTAATTAAGATATCCCCCCCCCCCAAAAAAAAAAAAAAAAAAAGCAAAATTTGATAATTTTCCAAAAATTTGAACTATAAATTCCAGTTCTACATAGATTTTCAAATAAAATAAAATAGTTTCTATGATTTACTGTTTTTTTCTAGATAAGCATTTCCATTTATAATCTGTGATATTAGCAAAAAGTATTGAACAACAAAAAATGGGCTCAATGCTGGGAAAGACCAAACAATATTTCTTATCATGTTTTCAACACATAGCCCCCTACAGCAATAATATATTAATATTGGACATGAAGATCTCTTCCAACCCCTGCTTTCATTTTCTTCACACAAACATTTCAGACACATTCCCAGCAGAGAACATATGGCTGCATTACTTATAATAGTACATTTACACTATATTAACACTCAAAATACTGAATACGTTACAACCACATATTCACTATATTATGAAGTTTGTTCGAATACATGTGGGCAATTCTGCAATAGTGTGGGTACATTTTTGTCACTTTTATAATGCTGTAATTCCCAGAGTGTTGAAACTTTGATTAGAGTGTTTTGAAGTTTTTATATCCTTACATCTCGCCTTCTCCTTCAACTGAACGCACAAAATGTGCGCCTCAAAAAAGTTTCCTACTTGTTTTATACGTTATAGAGTAAAGACTTTTCTTCTTTTCAGAAATAAACTTCATCATTATTAACATTTGAATTTAACTTAAAATGAACAAACAATTGAAAATTTATCCACATTAATACTACCAAAGTGAAAACAGGGCGTACATATGTACTAGCACAGTACTCTAGTCGAACATTTGTTATTAGTGATAATATTTAATGTTTTAGTTTCGAGATCTGACGCAAACTCATTCGGGACCCAAGTGTATAAACAAATGAACAACAAAAACATCATGAAAGGATAACGCACTGTACCACATGTGCGACTTGGTAGCATATGTATAGTATTCAACCAGCGTATAGCTTTAGTATCATTTCTTTTTTCCCCTTATTTCTGTCAAAATTCCATGAACAAAATGCTAGTTGCACTAAAACCAACTTCGACAAGCGAGACAATCTTGGCTTGGGTGCGCATGATGTCGAACATGAATCTGGTGTCTTTGATGGAGGACTCCAGTATCATTGTGAACCGTAGGTAAGAGTCACTGAAATGAAACAATGATAAACACATTCACGATTTGATATTTAAGGACTTGATAAAGCAAAATAATCCTTTGAGCAATCCACATCGGTATGCAACATAGTATATTAATAAATCATTATTCAACTTTAAAATCGTGTGCATTGAACCAACACGTTCTATACAATCACACACTTTATACAATAATATAATTTCCATTCATTTATATAATATATTGGCCTATGCAATGTTACACGACAACATACATTACTGTACTAAAACATTGATTGATACTAATTGATACAAGATCGATACTAAAAGAGTTGTATAAGAGAGGTCGGATGGCACAGATGTTCACGGAAGTTAACTGCAATTAATTAAAACATTTGACAGAATGATCTATTTCACATAAGAGAAAAGAACGAAATAATCATAATCGAGACACCTGATCAATGACGGATCCAGGATTTTGGTGGAGTTGGGGGGTCTAGGATAACATAATCGTCTCACTTTGTTAGAAAAATATTAAACGAAAGAAGAGAACAATTTTACTGTAATTTGTAGAGCACAACGGTGCGAATGGGGATTTCGTTTCGTTCGTTAGATTGGTTTTGGAGGAGGGAGAAAGGGTCCCTTCGAAGCTCAACAAAAAAAAAATTATAATAATTTCAAAACATGTTAGAATAATATATATATATATATATATAAATATAAATAACTAAAAAAAAGAGGAGACGGATTTACATGTGGTGCTCGCCAAACACGTAGTGTAAACACCTGGTTGGACGATGAAAAATAAAATCTAGGGAGTTAGTTACACTGTTAATAGATTTGTCTCGTTTCGTTCATAAGAATCAAGCAAATCTATTTGCTATCGTCTGATTCTGTATCAAGAAAGATTTGTTTGCTGTTAGTGAACTTTAATAACAGGCTATATTTGATACTTAAAATACAAACTGCTACTGTCAGCAGTACAGAGGTAGTGGCTTGTGAAGTTACCTTCTCAATTATCTTGTAAACGTTGTACTGGCAAAGTTTCGAACCTTGGACCTCTGGAATATGCCATTTCTTCTTTAATCTTTCTAGGCGAATGCGTTCCCTCTGGATAAGTAAGAGATAATAAATCATTTACTTTCAAAATGATTTTCGAATTTTTAGTTAAATGGGGGAGAATCTTTCGTTTAAGTTAAAATCTCCCCATGGCCATTATGCCTGAAGTTCACCATACTAATATTTGGCAAATTGCGTCCACGCAAAACAAACAAGGTTATCTTAGATCATCTGTGTGGTACTTACAACAGATTGTTGTCGTTTTTCAGAGCCACATTTTCGGACAATATGTGGAAATTGTAGCAATGTGGCATGAGACTTCCATATGCACCATCTCCTTCTGACTACTGTCCTACCTGAACACCTCTCACAAAAATACTCACTTGATTTACATATTGGCGTTCTGCTCACCTATTTTTCATACGAAAGCTTTGATTAAATATTTTGTCTTAATTTTATAATAAGAGAAAGTGAAACGGCTTCTAGATAAAGGCAAAAGTATTCACACATTATCAGCCACTATAATTCTTGCTCAGTGATCAGCAATCAATTTCATAGATCGACTGAATAAACTCAATGAAAATCACGCGCGGGGGATTGTGTTAGAGAAGACATGATGCTACATTAACTACGTTACTGCAACAGGTTATCGTTCAAACAATAATATTACAACAAAAATAAAAGTGAACGCCCGACTGACGTCAGTGACGCACAGATTTTGTGTAATATTTGCATAATAGTTTTATTCCACCTTTTATTCAACGTTCATGTCTTTCCGTGATATTGGAGAGCGTTATAATATAAAACAGGGAAAATAATGGGGCTTGGCAAAACGATGCAAATATTACATCAAATGTTTTTGTGACTGATGTGACTAAAGTGTTCACTTTTTGTGGAAAGAAAGAGAAGAAAGGGATGACACAGCTTCTTTGGTTATTCTAATTAATGTATCATTTTGCCTTTTACACCATAATATGGATTTAAATCCATGTTACAAGAGCTGTAGACACGGTAGGGGTCATCATCTTAACCCCACCCCCACCCCCTCGCCCTCCGCCTATCGATAATAACTGTTCGTTTTGGCCAAAAAATTAATTTTCCCGGAGTAAACAACAATTTTCTCATACTTACCCATGGTTAACGAATCCATTTCTACAGTCAAAGTTAGTCCCTGGTTTTTTTCTAAAAAGTTTGGTTTTATGTTATAATCTCTTAAGACATAATTTACAGAGTAAAGCCATCTATGGAGCTCACGTGGTCTGATGACAAGCTCAGATATCAGAATAATAGCTATAACTGCCGTTTTTGTGGTAAAACAGATATATTATATTATATTTCTATGAGTTGTTTACAATGTTTTTATTGTTGAAATATAGATCTCACACGAAGAGTTATTATCCCTTTAACGCCCACCCTTGTCGGCATCCTGGATTCCCCAGTGGCATGTAAGCATTCGCCCATCTAAAGGTGCGTGACGAAAAGAGTTAATAAAATTAGTCAAATTAACGACTCGCATATTGACTTCGATCTCAACATTTATAACAATCTACATAATACTCTTTAATGAACTCATTGCTTGTGTAAAAAAAGGATACAACCGCAATTATAACACGAGAAAATTCTGAAAGTTCAACGCCTCCCATCCAATTCTTTATCTAACCAGTACGTGTAAAGTCCGTCTTGCAATGGTGTCGCCACCTTATTATAAGCGCAGTGCACGTGACATTTGGCGCCGTAGTTTGAATACCTCAGATAAACGTTCTCATTCCAAGAGGACACACAGCGCGGGGACAGAGGCTGTCGAGAAGGAGACCGACAAGAGATTTGGTAAGCAAAAAGGGTGGCCAAGGAAGTCGCCTTAAAGCCAGCTGCTGCCGACCTCGGTCCGTGCCTTCAGTCTCCCTCCGGCCCCCGTCGCTACCACGCCCACTGCTGACACTGATCAGCCTGCCATGTTCTGCGACGATGACGAGTTTTTCTTCTACCACGCCTTTCGAAAATCATCGTATTCTTCACCCGACACGAGCCACATCTTTTGCAAGTGAGTTTAGTTTTGTTTGGGTATTTTTGAAGTTGATAATGCATCGTAATATCGGTGATAATGAAATAGTAAAATATTATACCTGTTAACTTCAATACATTATATTCAGTTATAATGCATTGTACTAGTGTCAGGACATCGTTAGACTTGGATCGACATTTTTCTTTAGCACAAGTGTTATTTTTTATTATCAAAATCCAAAAATGGCAATTTCAGATACTTCGCTAGGGGTAGCTGTAAATTTGGGAATGATTGCTACTTCTCACACGATATAACTGACAAAAAGGTAAATACCATATTTATTATGTTCAACACTTTTCAGTGACTGCGGTGTAATGCACCTTCTTTTAATCAGAAAACCAAACTTGGTATTTTTAACATATAATTTTCTTTTTTCTTTGTATGTAGCTTTTGATTATATCCCAAAGACTTTACAATCCCATGAGAATAATGATAAAAGCACTAAAAATGCTGAAGCTGCTTGAGCCTTATAAAAAGAAAATGTCTTTTACAATCATATGTAGAGTATCACTGAGTTTAACTCAACATTGATTGTTAGTTTTTACTTCAAAAGATAAGCAGATTTTTTTTATTTATTTTATTTTTTATTTTTATTATTATTATTTTTATTTATTTATTATTTATTTATTTATTTTTTGTAAGTGAATGCATAATCATAAAGTTAAGAACATTGATTTGTGATTTATATATTTATATCATTTAGACTTTTAGCTGATTATTTTTGCTTTTAGCCTTGCAAAAATTACCTTCGAGATGGATCCTGTTCCTTTGGTGACAATTGCTGGTACAGGCACATTGGGTAAGTACTATTTGAAAGGCATTTGAGCCCTTTAAATATTTCTTGGTGAAACTTCAACAGGTAAAGGGTGAAGCAAAGCAGGCATATTATGTGACCTTTTTTGAGAAGTCATTGATTAAAGGGATAATAACTCTTCTTATGAGATCTATATTTCACAATAAAAACATTGTGAATAACTCATAGAAATATAATATATTCTGTTTTACCACAAAAACGGCAGCTATGGCTATTATTCTGACATCTGAGCTTGTCTTTACACCACGTGACTTCCATTGATGGCTAATACTCTGTTAAAATCTCTTAAGAGATTTTAACAAAAAAACAAGGCAGCAAAGCTGTCAAATGTACAGANTCGAACTTGACCTGCGTATTATGAATATTCATCAGTTCTGCAAGTTTCAAGTCAAAAGGTACAATGGTTTTCCACTTATCGTGTTATCGGTAAAAGTGCACGGCGACGGCGACGACGGCGACGGCGACGACAGACGCAGATGATGGCTATATGTACAGACACATCCGTGTCTGTACATAAAAACAAGCTTTTTAAAAAAAAACAGGGACTAACTTTGATTGTAAAAATGGATTCATTAACCATTGGTAAGTATGGGAAAATTGTTTACTCCAGGAAAATTAATTTTTTGGCCAAAACGAAGAGTTATTATCCCTTTAATTGGCTAAATACAGGGGCGCAGGGAGGCCGTCTTATGGGTCTTCCGGAAGACGGTCAGCATTTTTCAAGTTGACGGGCATATACTTTTTTCTATCGGAAGATTTGCAAATATATAACATATTTTTAATAAGTTTAAGGTTCAACACGCGGTTGAAAGCGGTTTATTTGAACGGTAGCTGTAGAAAGGGGGGAGGGTAGAATTTTAAAGAACAAGCCTCGGTATTTTTCGATATACCAAATGCACACTTTCTGAGTTCATAAGCAGTATTTCACAAATATAATGAAGTCTATATATTTCATACGATAAGTCTTTTATTTAGAATAATATTCCTGACTTGGGAAGGTTTGTTTTGAGGGGAAATTATGCCAAAATAAGGTATTTGAAATTAGACATCATTTGGCTGGGGTATTGGTCAGTACAAACACATGAATATTTCACCGGATTTGTGAATGTACAAGTAATTAAATGAAAATAACTTTAATCAGACACTTTCTTTTGTTCACTTAGCATTTTTTTCAATATATTTTGATAGCATAAAAGCATCTTCACGTTTGTGCTCTTAAATCTAAAAGAGAAAATGTTTATTTGCCAGTTATGATAACTTTTTTCGCATTTCCATCAATTTTGGGAATTTTATGTATTTCTTTGAAATCTTCCAAAATACTAATGTCTGCCAAATTTGTTTGCAGCGTCTTTTAGTCTTTTAGAATGTGTTGCACGGCCTCGGTACAGAGATGAACATCACTTCCGACCAGTTTATAACTCGAAGCAATCTAATTTGCATATAAGAGAAAAATGCACCTTTTCTTTTGGTTTTGAGGTGTGTACACATTTTCCATTGTCCTCAGAAGAACTGTCCCCTTACCCTTACAAACTATGAAAGATGTGAAACGCGCTGTTTATTAATCACATCATTAAAATTAACTTTCATATTACAAGCGTGAATCCCGTCTCCACGCCCAAGTCATAAAATTGTTAAAAAGCGCTGGATAACTGCACTTGCCAAAAGTACGTCAATTGCCTGTATGAAAATCCCATACGAATATCGATTTTTGGGGTAAGGGCGGTTTTTGGGGAAGCACGCAAGAGAGAATTATCAAGATGCCAACAATATATTTGGGACTCCTGGAACCATTTAAAAGCGCAGCACGTTGTAAATTTTTAAAGGGCTAAAAACTTATCAACTTCTTCAGTCTTGCAACTTAAAACTTTGCCGACATTATGACAGACATTTTATTTCATCTGTACCTCCCTAAAATGTTGCAGACCGCGTAAACTGTTTAGCTGTCGAGAAACGCGGAATACGATTCAGCAGACGTTATTGTTGAAGGAGCAAAGGGTAGGGTTGGATCTTGGACCTAAATAGAGAATCTAGTTAGGTCCAAGGTTGGATGTAGGAATGGAGAGAGGGGGGCTTACGTCACTTTTTCCAGCCACTTCAGTCTTTAGAGCTGGCAGTAACAAGGCGTCGAGATGTCCATTTGTAATGGCTGAATATATATATGTGGAATAAATCATAAATTTTTACATGTTAAAAGGGGCGCCCAATTTTATACCGCATAAATGTATAGGTAACGAGTATGGGAATTGGTCATAAAATTTAATATTCGAACAGTTGAAATGATTTTAAACACACCACGAGAAAATGTATTTGATTGAGTGTTCCCTTGAATATATTCTTTTTGTGCTATTTATAAACTAAGAATTTAGAACAAAATTATGAAATCAAGATTGGATAAAATATCGAATACTTATATTGGGACAGGTCATGCATTGATGCATAAAGGTCACCTTTGATTAACACAGATTTAAAAATTAACTATTATTTATTACTTTTATATTATTATTATTTATTACTTTTATATTATTAAAATACCTCCTGTCTTTCTTTTAAGGATAACAACTCTTCATGTCAGATTCATATTTCACAATTAAAACAATGTTAACAACTTACAGAGATATATTCTTTTTAACTACCCAACGGCTGATATCACAATTATTCTGAAATCTTTGCTTTCCATCGGACCACATCACCTTCATAGATGACTATAATCTGTAATAATCTCTTAAGAGATTATAAGAAGTAACCAAATTTTTATTCAAAAAAAAAAAGGACTAACTGTGAATGGCCGAATGGATTCATTAACCATTTGTTTGCATGGGGAAATGGTGTTATCCCCAGGTAAATCCATTTTGGCCAAAATGAACAGTTGGTTTTTCCTTAAAAGTCTTGTTGCACCAAAGAGGTAGTGTAAGGAAAGTCAGCTGTGGTTTCAATAATTAAAATAGAAAAAGAAACGATGACCCCAAAATAACATATGAGCAATGTCTCTTGGGGCATCTTGGATACATTTGACATTTGACTACAAGGATTACTTTTTTTCATAAATCTGCATATTAGCGAGTCGAAACACGTTTGAAAATAAATAAATGTGTGTGTGTGTGTGTGTGTGTGTTTGTGAGCTCATGCAGGGGTTGGCATGGGGCAGTAGGGGATGAGCCAACAAAGATAATTTGTAAGACTGTCAGAAAATATCTCTGGATCTTCCCCTGAAATATAATGAAGAAAATTTAAACTTTGAATTTGAATTACATTGTGTTTGGATTGTTTTTCCAGGGCAGAGCAGGTCAGCAAGGAGAAAGAAGAAAAGGAAGAAAAGCGAAAAAGGGAACTAGAAGAGCTGAAGGAACATAATGCTAGGCTACTTAAAGTAAGTCTGAGTTTGAAAACACTGTTTTGTTCATTAAGTTCACCTTGTTTTGATTTATAAAAATTATGTACATCTTTAATAATGAACATAGCATATGGGTGAATTTATGTTTGAATGTTTCACTATTGTTTTTAATTCTTTATCTTGTGTATTTTAAACAAATTTGTTGCAGCTGTTTTACTTTTATATTATGCTTTTTCCTTGGTGTATTTTTACTTTAATTATTTTTTCAATTTGATAATGCCATCTGAAAATTGTAATGAGCTTTTTAGAAGAGAATCACTGCTTTTAGCTCCACCTATATTCAGTTTGTTATATGTCACCACATTTGCTATACTAGTACATATATTTATAACAGGAACAAATAGCTGAGAGAGAGAGATTACGTTCTATTCAACCATTTGAATTCCGAGAGCCAAAACCAAAGTCAAAGCTGACCTTAGAAGAAGCTTTATCAAAACTGGAGGTCATCAAAAATGAGGTGAGGCACAGATAAAAGACAAGTAAAGTATGTATTGACATGAGTTCTGTTATAAGCAAAATGCTCTGAGAATTATTAAATCAAACATATAATCCAGTAAGCAAAGAACATTTTTCTCCTATTTATTCATGAAACTTATTTTAGCATTTGAAAAAAGATTTTTTAGCAATCCACGCTCCCTTCATATGTAAGTTTAACATCAAGAGCACGTGTCACTTCAGGCTTACAACAAAGTTACCATTTTAGTATACATTTCTGTCTCAGGTAGCTGATCAACTTAAAGAGGAAGAACTGGAAAAGGAAGCACGGAAGAGGAAGAAAGAGAGAGGAGAACTTGAAGAAAACATAGAGGATGTGGAATGGAAAGATTTTTGTGGTCAGTTGCCCTCAGTCGTATTTATTTACTGTTTTTTTTTTAAGTATAGCATTTAATTTTGTAAATAAGATATCTTAATGCTCTGCTCTTTATGTCCTTTCATTTTTTGTTCATATATTAGGCTTCCCTTAACAAATCTTTTAAAAGTTTGTTTTTATGTATTATCTTCTGAAAGAAACTATATACAACAAATTATTTTCTGAAGTGCCTTTGTACTGGCTTCAAATATTTTGGGCATAAAACCCCTGATTTTCTCAACACCAAGCATTTATCTACAGCAGAAAGAATACACCACATCACCAACTTGGAAATTCTCATCATTGCTGCAGCCATGCTGAAACACATGCTACATCATATGGATGGCAGACAAACACTGAAAAGACTTTGACAGCTTGGACTAATCTGATATCGCTACTTAGCCATAGTGAATAATGAGACATTAGGCGATATGGTGCCAATAATGAGCCAGCGTCAAACTCATATGATAATCATTGATGATTGGAGGCCACTTACAACTGCACAGTTCCTTGGCAGGGACTGCCCACCCAAACCGAATGTGACTGTGGGAGAAATCTTTGGTTTGTCTACCAGCTAGGGCCATATGAGCAGACCATTGTCAGGCCAGAGGACCGTGCTGCTTCACCACTCACCCGGATATTCAAACTCAGCTGGCCAGAGCAGCAGATCTCCCTCAGGGCTTGGCCAAGCCCAGAACCCAGAAGAAGTGCCAGAAGACTGGTGTACTCATCGGACTCTGATTGGGATGCAGAGGACAACACACCTATAATCCCCTATAAGCACCCAGTTGGAGCCAGTGAGGATCCAGAGTCCAATGATGAATTCGAAGAGCCCTATACATACAAATCAATTTCTCCAATGGCCAACATCATTTCTTCTGGACCTCGGTTAAAAATCACCAGAATGGACAATTCAAATTTAATACATGTACAAGTCATGTTCTAGTAATTCTGCTTGTGATTATTTTTATTTCCCCTCCCCACCGCATCACAAGCCTTTTTGAGGGAAATAAAACCTTTTATTTAGTTTAATATTTCTTGTTCTTTTTTATGATTGATTGGCCGAGCCAGATTCTTCTAAGATGGAAGGTGTAAAACTAAAAAAAGTAAATAATTCATTTTTGCAATTTATCGGTTAATTAGTAGTTATAATAGCATTTTGGGTTTAAGTCTTATCTTGCCAAGCATGCGCAAGCATTGACCAAATATAATGACCTTCCAATCTCAAGTAAAAGGTAGCCAAAGCACCTCTTATAGTGGTGAGCAAAGGTTTCACTTTAATTACATGTAAAATAGACATGTAACAGAGCCATAGAAAGAAGCGACTGAGAGTAGACAGAGCAGGGGGCATCATGGTCACATCTCCAACTTGATGAGGTCCGTGTGAGCAGAATAAAATTCCTTTCACAAGAAAAAGATAGTTGTTGGTAACTATCATTTGATATTACCAGGAACCTTTCATCAGTAGATAATGCAAAGTATCAATACATAATTTATTTAAATGTATTCTCCAGAATTTGATGAAATCTGCCACAATTTCCGCAAGTTTGTCAACCAGTATGACCTCACGGACTGGTCAGTGGATGACCACATCCAGTTGATCTCAGCATTCCACATAAGTGACCAGACAGAGTGCCAGGAGTACTACCATCCTCTCACCTTTGTGATGGGCCCTCTATTCCGGCTGTGGCGGCCCTCCCCGCAGGCCTGGGCCAGGTTGTGTGTGGCCATAGTTGAGCTATTGAAGGAGTGTGTTGACATGGAGGAGGTGATTCAGGCCTGGAATGCTGCCTTAGATGACTGTGAGATTGAAGGTAAACTTGAAAAGTGCGATGTATAAAATGGTGTGCGTAAGATGTAATTATAAAGTTTCTGACATGAAAATATACAATAAATATAAATAATATACTAGAAAATAATAATATTAAAATAAATATTTTTGCAATTGTCGTTACATGTACATTTTCTTATTATTATTATTTTATATTTTTGAACTACAAACATCAATAATTGTGTAACTTTGTTGATTTCAGTTTTTTTTAAATGAATTTGGCCCTTGAACTTAGATTGATAATGATAATTGTATTTTTAGATGAAAATTATGAGCCAGATTCTGAGGAAAGTGAAAGTGATGAAGATTTCACAGAAGATGAAGAAAATGAGGTACCTTTGCCTAATGAGTTCTATTTCTAAATTAGGCATCTTCATTATTAACTGTATGTCAGTGATATCTTCGGAGAAGATGCTTTGGCACTTTTTTTAAAATCATGATAACAAACTGAATTGGCCAGTAGAGATCTTTTTTTTAGATATTTCTGAAAAACTTACATTTTCTAAAATTTTCTAAACCATACATATATAAAGTTGGTATTTATTTATTTATTTATTTGCAGCATGTGGTGATTGAAGAGCTTGGTGATCTGTGTGTCTATTTGCAGGAGATGGTGAAGCTAGAGATAGAGGACCTGTCAGCAGCAGCCAATCTGACCTTGGAAGAGGTTATCCAGAGCCTGCCTCATGACATAGTAGAGCCACACATCATGGACCCAGATCAGGAAGATGAAGACAGTTGGTTCACAGCTCTAACTGAGGTAGAATACAAGGAGAACGACTCTGAGGGTGAGTAGAATGCATGCACACAAACATACACACACACACACACACACACACACACACACACACACACCAGGGCACTTTTTCGGACACTTTATTCACTACTTGCTAACTCTATGTACAGCACTGGAGGTAAACAAGATGCCCATACCCAATGAAACAATCAATCTATGTAGATTGATCCACCTCTGTCAGGGGGCTCTCGCTGACTGCAATGAGATTAAGAGATTAACATGCCTCCTCCTGGTGTTGAATAGAATAAAGAAAAACTGGTGATTATGAGTATGTTGGAAACAATAGAAGGCATGCTTATCTGATTGCATTCAGCAAGAGTTCATTTGATGTACCTAGACCAATACTTTCATTGGGAATGAACCCTAAGGCTGTATTCCCAGAGCTTTTAGATCGATCTATCCCCACGGGGAGTCTCGCTAGATTACTGTCAGATAATTCGGCTTAAATGTCCGTCCCGCCTACTACAAGCTGTAAGGGGGTAATTAACTTTCGTGTCCGCCCGGCCGACAGCTATTTAGCGTGAACCTCCAGGGAGTTAGGTCGATCTAAAGTAGATCAATCTAATCTATGGAAATGGGGTCTAAGTGACAAATAGATGAATTAGCAGAAATAACCAAGAAAATCAAGTTGAGCTTCTATATTGCTGTTACTGAATCTTGTTCAATTCCTTAAGATTGTCAGTTATATTTAATGACAGTTTGTTTGAATTAGTGTTAAGCAATCAGAAATATTTACCAAATCTGCAGTTGGTTTTATCTTAATTACACAAAACAGATTTAGATTATGAGCCAGAGGAGAGCGAGGGTGATGATGAAGAAACCATTGCTCAAGAGGAAGCTGAAGCTGATGAGGTATTTTTTGGCATAATTTGTTATATTTATATAATTAAAATGGTTAAAAAGATCAGCAAACCTGGTCACACAGTTCAGCAAAAATTATGTAAATGTATCTGCATAAGTGGCCTGTGTTTCTCTACAAATATTGTGCTTTCTCAAATTGTACAAAAACGCCCTCAACTGACACAACTACCACTGTCCTCATGTTCTTCTCTGTTCCTCTCTCTGCAGGCTGCTGTCAAGGAGGAGCTCCAAGACCTGGAGGCCATGGCCCAGATGTCCAAAGAAGAGCTACTGAGTAGTCTGCCACCAGAAGTTCTCCAGCCTCCTGTTGCTGAATCAGAAGACGATGAAGAGGAGGAGGAGGAGGAGGAGGAGGAAGAAGATGAGGATGAAGGAGTGGCAGGGGATATGGCTGAGGATGAGGATCAGGAGGAGGAGGAGGAAGTAGATGATGGGATAGGTGAGGAAGAGGAGGAGGAATACTGGGCAGTTGCACTGGCCACTGACAGGGAACTGTATGATGAAGATGATTTGGAAGGTAAAAAACTTTTTTTTTTACTCAGAGACTAGTAATTCTGATACATTTATCCTTTGTGAAAGAAGTAGTTTAATGCAGCTTAATTCAAAAAGTTCAAGAATTAACCCAAGCAGTCACAATTTGGCTGTCTGCTGTACTTTGGAGAAAAAAAATAATTTTCCAGGACTCCACTGTGAATGTAGAGTGCAGATTCTCAATTATTTTCACTGTCAGTGACTGTAATAGCACATTTGGGTGCCTTGGCCAAGGCATGAGTATACATATCAATACTTGACAACATGTTGTGGTTTTAGATAAAGACTACGAGCCAGCAGAGGAGGAAGGTACCACAGATGAAGACAGCACATCTGCAGAAACAGATGAGGTTTACTGTGACATGTTTCTCTGTTATTTAGGAAGTGGATTGTTTTTAAGAATATTTATCTTAATTTCTCTTTAATTGCCAATTGAATAAACAATTGATAAATAATTAAGCAAACTTATTGAAAATTTTAAGAATAGTTTACTGTGTTTTTTTTAAATGTATCATCAATGTGTGCTGTGGTGTAATCAATTAATTCAGGTATAGGATGCTTTACTCTTCATTATGTTTCAACATTTTGGGTATGAAAACATGGGTGAAAGTTTTCAGGATTATGCATTTTTTTCATATGGTCTAAATGCCAGGAGAAATTGTTATCAGGATTTTCATTTTTTTACAACTTTCACCCAAGGAACATTGCCTTTTTTAAATGTTTTACAGTCTCTGATATTTTCTTAACAGACTTTTTTTAATACTGAAAGGAATCCCTTAGAAGAGAACTGAAAGAATTGGAAGAAATGGCAGAAATACCATTTGAGGAATTTGTCTCATCACTGCCACCAGAAATCCTCAGAAATTATGGGATAGAAATGGAGGATATCCCAATACCTGCCAGCAGTAGTCCAGACACAGATACCAATAATAATGATGAAGGCATCAAAAAAGGTAAAAACCATTTGCCAAAGTGAGAATTTGTCAATTAGTTATATTTTTTTAATGTATATTTATTAAAATAACAGTAAATGAAACCAAAACTGAATTACACTATGTGCCAGGATGGCATTATTCCTACTTATTTTTAGAAATATTTCAACTATCATCATAGGAGATATTACCTTCAACAATTAATCAATTCCATGTTTATTTGCAGAAACTGAAGAGACCCAGGAAGATGATGCTCAAAATTCTGAGAAGAAAGACGAAGAGAAGACTTTTGAAGACGATAAACATGAGCAAACTATTCCTGATAATGAGACTGAGAAAACAGAGCCAGAAAAGCCTGGTTCAGAGGTTTATCTCTAGAATTTAAACATTTTATTTGAAAAGGAATTTTCTTAAAAGATGTTTACACTTCATGGAAACTATAATTAAAACCAACTATTGTGATACTTTTCCAAAATTTGCAGGTACCAGAATTGGTAACAAAATCAGTTGTGAGCTATAAGTCCAGCTAAAAGTCCATTGCAATATGTCACTGCCCCCTCTCCCACTGCCCTTGGGCTTTAAGTCTTCCCCTTGGGAGTTCATGTGTATTCACAGTATTGACCCATTATATGCATTTCAGTGATGTTTTCAGAATGAAGCGGAACAATCAAAGTTGGAAGTCAGTCTTGATGTTCCTGAACCTCGAAGGAAATCTGCGCCATTACTTGCAATGTTGATGGCCAAAAAATGTAAGCTACATCATTTTAAATTGAAAGATCTAAATTAGTTTTTATTGTACCACCATTACATACATTTAGTCATGGCATATATCCTCTCAATAAAACTTGTCTTGCATCTCTTCTGATAGAAAAATGGCTAATAACCCAACAGCAAGCAAAAGCTGAATTAAAACTGTAAATTAATGCCTTTCTTTTCACCAATACTACGTACCGCTATACTTTCAGACACAGATGCTGAGGTATTCATTGGGGGTCTCCTGGCTGGCCTGTTACAACTGAACCACCCAGACTGGGGGAATAAGGAAGTGGCTCATCTGTTTCAGAAGTTGGAGGAGGGAGGGTATAATTGCTTAGACAGGGCTCGGGCTTTGTTGGGAATGTCCATGTACTTGTCTGTGGATGAAATGGCTCAGGTATGTGACAGTTGGTGTGTTCATTTCAGAAATAAACTCACTAGCATTTTTACAATGAAGAAAGGGCAGGCCTTTTAGTAAGTATCCTCTTTGTGGATTGTCAGCAAGTGCAATGCCAGCTAGTGCACAATGATGGACATGGTCTTTGGAAGGAGAAGAGGGATTATTAGTATATTGCCCTCTGCCAGAGAAGAGTCACTTACCCTGACTTTATTCAGATGCTTCATACAAATGCACCACACAGATACATATGAAGATGCCTTTGAATGCATATAAACGGCACAGCCAAAACAAAGCTTTAAACTTGACTTACTTATCTGTCCTTTCAGTTCTATTAAGTCTTCCAAATGAAATACTGGTAGTTATTAATGCATGACACAATATTACTGCTTGTCAGGAACCGCCCAAATTTAGCTATGAATCAAATGTAGAAATGGACTTGAAATACGGACACCGTTGAATATTTTTAGTTTGGATAACGCTTTAATATTACCTTCCAAGTTCGTGGTCAAAATAGTTACATGTAAATTGATGTGAGGAAACCCAACGCTGACAACAATAACCAGTTTCAATCAATTATGTTCACTCGTAGCTTGCTCAGGTACATTCTGATGATATGTTGAATATTACACCCTTTAGTATCTAACCAAGACAATGGCTTCATGAACTTCCTAATCAATGGCTTCTTTATCAGAATAGGCAACAAGCCTGCTCTGCCTCTTTAGACTTAACATAACGTATTATGAGGAGTTACAGACTACAGCAAAAAGTTATTACGTCAGGTAACCAAAATTGCCTGTGAATTATTTGATGTCTTCGACATGCTGTGCACATGAAATAGCATAAATTTTCAAATGAGCACAGGCAGAAAATACTAAAGGTTATACATAGCACATGAAGAATTTCGAAGCAAAAAATATCCTTTTAAATAATATGTTTTGGGAAGTATATGAGACGATATCCTTTGGTATTTCTTTAAAGGAAGCACAACTGTTCATTTTACCAAAAATGGTTTTTCTTTGGGTAACCTTTTTCCATACTTACTAGTGGTTAATGAATCCATGCCAAAATTTAAAGTTGGTCTCTAGTTTTTTATCTTAATAATCTTTCATAAGAGATTATTAAGAGTGGACTCTAATGATAAGCTGCTTTTTTTTTTTCTTTACAATAATTGACGGATTAAAGGATTAAATTAAAATTGACTAATTTATTTCAGTTTGTGAATGAATATGTAAAGTTAACCTATGGGATCCAGGACCCCTATGAGTGTCGCTGTAAGACGCCAGAGTGTACGTGTGAGATGGAGGTGGACTGGGAATATTCCACTGATGTCTTCAAGGAGTTGGCGGATATGGCAGGCTGGGACAGAGAAAACAAGATACTCTTTTTCCAGGTAATTTTAGGAAGAACAGGTGCAGTGTCATATAAGTGATTGGAAATGTTTTGACTGAGAAGTTTTAACATCTTTCAAGTCATTTTGTGATTGTTTTAGCCAAAATATTGAATTCTTTTTAAATTGGCTGAAGCATTATCAAACTACATTTTTGGAAAGAACAACATTCAAAAGGTTTAGGTTCTGCACATATCAAACAGAATTTCATCACAGCCAACACAATCCAACAAGTTTTGTTGTGCAAATGTTATAACAAAAAAAAAAATATATATATATATATATATATATATATATATATATATATATATATATATATATATATATATATATATATATATATATATATATATTGCAGGAAGTTTTGATTTAAATAACTGATCACCAGTGATAAGTATCTATCAGTTTAAAGATATTCACCATCAAGTTAAATATAAATATCTTGACTGGCAACCTTGCAGAAAGCTTCGTACCAGCTTTGGCATACAGACTGCCTGAGTAGTGCCCTGGAGAAATATGGCCTACTGGACAGGTCCAGGGGTGATATGGATGAAGAGGCAGTCAGGGCTATACTTAAAGGTTGCACTCCTCTGCCGTATACAATGGAGTACATCCTCAAGTACTATGGAGATGAGCCTGGACTGGTACAGGAACTGATGAAACATATTCCAGAGTCTGAGGCCAAGCCTAAGGTAGGTACTAAATTTTCTTTTGTATGGATTTATCTTGGATTTTGTTTTGCTTTTGTTTTGTTTATTTTCTCTCCCCTACAATACGTTTTATGTAAGTTTTGAATGAGTGGAGTTTCATCAACCAACTGCTTTTTAATCCCAAATATCTACTTGAACAAATACAACTTGTTAATAGGTGAGAAGGAAATTTGCTTTGCCAGTTAAGGTAATTGTTGTTGTTCAATTTTTGTCAATATAACAGCACATTCCCAGAGATTTAGATCGATCCAACTAGATCGACCTAACTTCGTGGGGGTTCACGCTAAATAGCTGTCAGCCAAGCGCACACTATAGTTAATTACCTCCTTACAGCTTTTAGTAGGCGGGACAGACGCTTAAGCCGGCTAAGCTGCCAGTAAACTAGTGAGACTCCCCACAGGGATTGATCAATCTAAAATCTGTGGGAATGGGGTCTCAGTTATGGTATAAAATGAAGCTAACTAGGCTGCACAGATAAATCAATTATGAATTGATACATCATTTTGACTTATTATATTATATTATATTATATTATATTATATTATATTATATTATATTATATTATACTAGCAGTCCTCTGGGAACACTGGCTCCCACTGTGCAGGCAGGTCAGGTAACTGTAAGAACTCGGCCAAGAAGATGTGTGAAAATGGGATGTGTAGTAAGTAAGTAAACTCTGACTGGTGAAAAATAAAAGCAAAAGATAATTGGGCAGTGTTTAGTAAGAGCTTTTTTACAACAGGTGAAGGTATCATGTCATTTGTGATACTAAAGCTGTTCATTTAATATACAAAAACTGTGACGTTTTCTTCTAAGATTTTTAAAAGTATATCACATATCCATGTTACCTTGTAGTAAAGGAATGAATTTATCAAGGAAAATAGTTTTGTTGTGTTGGAAGAGTTGAAAGTGGAAAGAGGTAGCATATATTAAAATAAATGATGTAAATGTCTTTGTTTTCCTCTCTTTCAGGTGCTGCAGACATTCCAAACGCATGTGTGAAATTCATGGCCACAATTTGGGCTTTGAGGATGGAGTTGGCCATATTGACATCCCCAACCACCACCGCTACGTGTCAGTGAAACCTTTCCTCCACATTCTGTCTAATGCAGATTGGGGGGAGGCCCTGCAGAAGAAAGGCGAGCAGGGCTACAGAAATATTAAGTTTGGGCCGGATGTGGATCTGAAGGACCACCATATTGAGCTTTTGGCCTCCAAGTGTCCCAAGTTGGAAGTGCTGGAGATGGGCTCCTCTGACACAGGTGAGATATTGAAGGAAGAGTTGTTTCATGCCCACCAGTCCTTGTGCCAAGGATTGGAATATATCCATTTTATGTATAATGGAGAATTCAGACAATTGTTACTGGGTATTTTTTTTAACTGGAGGAACTCCAAATGTGAGCAACATTCTTGAGGTAAAAGCAGCAGCCCATGCCTTGAAAGCTGGGCAAATTTAAAATAAGTTAAACCACTGACAATATTGGTTGTGGATGAGAAGAAGTTACACTTGTTGAATGATACTCAGATGGGATTAGAGATTGTTCATTAATTTTCAGAATTTGACTTCTAATAAATAGCACTGTAATATTTAACAATATTTGTATACATTGGACTTTCAATGACAGTCTTAAATCAGGCTGTATGGAAAAGGCAATTCTAGGACAATTCCCCCCCAGGACAATTACCCCCCAGGACAATTCCCCACGGACGATTCCCCCCCCCCCCCCCAAGAAATATCTATTTATACACAAATATAATGTAAAAAGTGTAAAGTTTAAAACATTTCATCCATTTATTAATATTTTAGTGTGATAATGCAACTTTATCATGAAACAAATTATTGTCTGGGGGGATTGTCCAGGGGGAAGTTGTCCTGATACCGGAAAAGGCTAGTATTTTGTAGATGACACTGAGGAAATGGTAACTCTGAACAAGTAATTTTGATTTCATTTATCAAAGACAAGTAAAAATGCTGAACTTTATTTTATATTTACTTGCTATCTTCATGTAAGGGTCAGGGGCCAGAGTAAGTGACCGGGCAATAAAATGCCTAGCTGACCGGTGTCCTAAACTGAGGAAGCTAAAATTGGAATCCTTCACAAGCATCACTGATGAATCCCTTCAGAGGCTGTTCAAAATGTGCTCAAATTTGGAGTGCTTTGAGGTGATATCTGTTTTAAAAATTTACGACAAATTACATCTGAAATATAATCTTGGTATTTCATAGTAACTCACTTTTATGAGTTCCTGAAAGCAATGGATCAGTTTAAGGGGTCAGGCTCTATTAATTTTGCTGCTAATAGAGAATTGTATTTTAAATTAGCTTTAAAGATGACAAATTTAAGACTGATTTTATAAGATGAAAATCTTCAAGAAAAAATTAATCTTATTGCAATTTGCATCGGTTTATTTTCAGATAAGCGGCAACGACAAAGTATGTGGGAGACTGACAGAAAAGTTGGTAAAACAGCTGTTTAACAAAAAACTTCTCCCAAAACTCCGCTTCCTGAGTTTGCAGGATCAGCTGAACATTAGTCCGGATGTGATATTTAGACTCCGGAGATGCAGAACCAATGTTAAAATCATACACTCGCAATAACTTCAATATTTGCAGTGCTTTTTCAACGAGAACTCTCACAGACGCACTTTGTTTCAATTTTGTGACTTAAAAAAGAATATTTTGAAAATGTCACCATGTATAATGAGCAATGTATGTACTATTTATACTGATATATAATGGTATTTATAACGAATGATTATTGCTATTTACTTACATATACATCGTTTTGCATTGACCTTGTCTCGTACTACAGTGGATAGTCTGTTTTCTTAGCAGTTGATGAGACATGCACTATTTATATTACCTTATAGCACACATGCAAAAAAAAAAAAAAACGTTTCTTCAACATGTTTTTAGTGGTTTTATCGTCCATGAATATGAAGCAAAACTGAAGTTATTTTGAACTGGGGTTTAGTTTAACTTAACGAAGTCGGGTGTGTTACGAAAAACGAACTTCCCCGCTTCACTTACTGCGCAACACCACAAATCCGTTCTTGTTTGTTTCACTAAGATTTGTTTGAACAGACTCCATATATGAACAAATAATGTAAACACTTTCAAGCATGTCCTTTTATTTATGCAGGAAAATTGTATTCAATCTCAAACACGTAACTCGCCCCCGAGACACGATTCTCAGTAATCAGAAAATCGTTTTATGGTTGCCCAGCTTGATCTCACTGCCAGTCACGCATGCAGACCGGTATTCAAAGCCTTTTAAAGTGAAGTTGATATTTGCACTATACAGTCTGTTTCTTAACTACTGCTATTCACGTAACTGGTAGGATAATTGGATAATTGATTTTAATTTTTAATGGAACTTAAACGAGGGCGACCCCCCCCCCCCCCCCCCCCCAAAAAAAAAAAAAAAAAAAAAAACGGACCCAAGGACACATCAACAGCAATTCTTCAGTATAGGCACAGTGACAAGGTTTTGTCGCACTATCACCGCAATTTGTGTGCCTCACTTTTATTCGATTATTTTTGGATATGTGCAAAATCCAAAATGAAACGAAACCAGTTGATTAACTTTTTGATTGCAAACAGTGATTGAAATTGAAATGGACCGCCACGAATCATACCAGATAGGCAACTAATATCATCATGAGAGTTGCACAATTAAATAGAGAGTCCAGATCTCCGCCAACGCAGCTCAATTCTCATAAAAAATTAATCTATTTATTGATGGATCTCCACCAAATTTTAATGTATTTTAAGTTAGCCTTTTTTTACCTTTAACGAAAATTTTGTCAACATCCGTTAGGCTGTTAACTAAGAGTGTCCGCCTTCTCGTGAAATATTTTTACATATAACGAAAATTCGGTCGTGAAATGTTATGATAATAGCTTTAAGTCAGAGATCCAGGGTTGAATTCTTTTGTTGTAAATTATTTTTAAAAAAAGAAAGAAAGAAAGAAACTTGAGTTGAGTTTTAACTACAGTAACTGTCTTTCCTTTGGTTTCAAAAATATGAAATTTATGATCTCACTAAGTGGTGGGTTACATAAAGGGTAACATTCAATTTAATTCTACAAACAAATCGCAGCAGGTCAAACAGAACCATTGTTTCTACTTTAAAATGTAGATTCAGACGCATGCCTGTTTGCATGCTTTTCAAAACTGACCAGCCCACGACCTACAGGTGGTCAATCAATTATTATCTATAAAAGTTCTCGGAAAATCAGGACAAATCACTTACTCGAAGAGATTGTCTCCGAAAACTGAAAATGAAGCTTGCAACTCTCGTCGTATTGACAGCGCTGGTTTGCGCTGCTTTGGCTTTTCCACGCGGAAAGTAAGTAAATCACTTATCATTATTTAGCGTTACGTTGTGTTTTAACCGAAATGGCAGTATTTTTGCGATGGTAGATGGAACGCGTTCGACCTCATTTGAACAAATTAAGTCGAAAAGCTTTCTTTGTGGTATATTCTCATAATTTTATAGTTTACGTTATTAATGACAATTGTCTTTTAATTTTGATAAAAAATTATACCTTGTTTGTTACTTTTAAGTTACTGCGAGGAAAATTGCCTTTTTAAATATCCTTGTTTGGGAAAAATTAGTTTTGTTACTGACAACCATTTAAGCCTAGATTACATTTGCCATGCGATGTGAGTACGGTGCTCGTATACTGCCCGTAAATTCCTTTTTTTGTGCGGCGTTTGTGCGGAGGCACACGGTGGCCGTGCGAAATCGTGCAAAATCGTACGGATTCACGGCTTCTGTAGCCTATACGATTTTGTCAAGATAACACTTTTGACAATTTATTTTTAAATCGTAAGACCGTAGGCCAAAATCATTTCCCGTAAGGGCACTCTTTGTTGGGCTTGCGGTAATCACTTGGGTGAAAAAACTAATGTACTACGAAAGCATCTGAAAGGCAGCGGCGCGGAAGGCGTGCAGCAACTGTACCGAGACTGAAGAGGCTCCATTCGACCACTTTTTAACCTAAAACCTATTTTCCTTACTTGACATCGAGGTCATGTTGGAGAAATCACATGGCACCAGCACGTAATTAATGTAGACGTATATACTCGCCGTAGTCGTAACTACTTACGATGTCAAAAAAATCGTACGGCGCTCGTGGCAAATTTAATCTATGCTTCACAGACAAACATTATGGTTACGGTACATGTATGAAAAAATTCAGCTTGTATTTTATTATTATCATATATAAGCTTTAAATCCTATTGAAGGCATTTATTATTTTATTTTATTTTTTGTCCTTGTTTATGTATGAGACCTACTGGAATGGATTTTTGAAATATCATTGATATATATAAAACTTGATCGTTGGCTAAGGGTGAGCGTGATTCATGACTCCTGATAGTAAGACAATCATACAACGAGCATAGCATCAAGAATGACAACGACATCACAAATATTCGAAACATGTTTTGAGAAAAATGCAATCTTTATAAGGAATCTCAGATGCGTACCTTATTGAGAATATACCCAGAGTTTTCAATTTTATGTATAGTAGTGCTCTTTTGCGTGGTTAACGTTGACATTTTGAAAAAGAAGTGACAAGCCTAGATAACGTGTAGACGAATTGTCCGTAAATGGTATTCCATTAAAGCGATTTTTAAAGTTAACTTTATTATATGAATTCAAAATAAGCATACAAACGACATAAGGTTTTTTACCAGTCTCCGACCCTGACTTGGTGCCGAAGACCACGCACCATCTCCGGCCAAAAAACGTAAAAATGTGGTGCGCAAGCATTCATGTGACACGCGCGGCAACTAGAAACATTACCTTTTTTGGACCTGAAATGCTTTTCCATTGTCAATAATTTAGATTAAGGCAATTTTTACCATTTGGATTTAAATCCATTAGCAGTCCTAAGATATGCACAGTCATGTGAAGAAAGTTAAAGTATTATAGTCTACTTTTTGGCGCAGAAATTTGCTGACTTTACTTCATAGATATGGTATACTTGACCATTTTCTATTTCTGTTAACTGGCATCACTTTATCTAGTTCCAAACTCAGCAATGCTACAGATATACAATTTTTTATTTGCCCAAGCCACGGAAGCTGCCGCATGTAATTCCTATATTTTCATAAAAAATGTTTTAAGCAGGGTTCTTTGTTTCATTACCTCAAAAATATACAACGGCGCTTATTACACGGGAAAGTTAACAAGGACGTAGAAAGACTGTAAACAACCACAAAATCATCAACTGTGATGGATGCTGCAAATAGATGCTGCAAATATGTCTTCACTATATAAAATTTTTACTGTTGCTTTTTAGGACATGGAAAGGAATGGGGAAAGGACCAAAGCCAACTGGCGACAAGCCAGAAGGTATGATGCGACCAAAGCCAACTGGTGATAAGCCAGAAGGGATGAAGCGACCAAAGCCAACTGGTGATGGTCCAGAAGAGCGCAAGGCACCAAAAGGACCAAGGCCAACTGGTGACAAGCCAGAAGGAATGAAGCGACCAAAGCCAACTGGAGACAAGCCAGAAGGAATGAAGCGACCAAAGCCAACTGGTGATGGTCCAGAAGAGCGCAAGGCACCAAAAGGACCAAGGCCAACTGGTGACAAGCCAGAAGGAATGAAGCGACCAAAGCCAACTGGAGACAAGCCAGAAGGAATGAAGCGACCAAAGCCAACTGGTGATGGTCCAGAAGAGCGCAAGGCACCAAAAGGACCAAGGCCAACTGGTGACAAGCCAGAAGGAATGAAGCGACCAAAGCCAACTGGAGACAAGCCAGAAGGAATGAAGCGACCAAAGCCAACTGGTGATGGTCCAGAAGAGCGCAAGGCACCAAAAGGACCAAGGCCAACTGGTGACAAGCCAGAAGGGATGAAAAGACCAAAGCCAACTGGTGATAGACCAAAACGGCCACGACCAACTGCTGCGTAAATGAATTCTCTTTAAACTATAAAACGTCAAATGTTAATGAAAATTTGAATCAGTCAAGAGTGTGTTCTTAATTTTGTGAAATTAATCTTTGCAATAAATTACCTTGCTTCTGACTAATTTTCTGCAATAATCATGTTCAAACCCTGTTCAAAGAGCACATCCTCATGGAAAGTTACAACAATATGATTAAACACAGAAGATCATGCGTTTCAGATCCAGTATATCATATGCGTGCAAGGTCATAAAATTATTGACTTTGCATTTTTTGTATAAAAGAAAAAAGACAGAACAAAAAAATCTAGCGCATAAATCCATTCTACAGGGCCCTCAAAAACCATGATCCAAATATAGAGGCGTACTTCAAAATTGAACCTTTTTTTCAAAAACTGCGCATGCTGTACGCTGGATATCCCACTCAGGACTAACTTAATTGAAGACATCTGAACTTTGCCAAACTGACAATATATAATTATTTTAACCGTTGGTTACATTTTTTAAAATTTTGATTATTATTAGCCAAGTCCAAGAAACCGCAAAGAGGAAAATTTTTTTGCAAAATGCACTTATTGATAAATCGGCTGACCAATTGGAATTTTGCGAATCAGGGTATTTAAAATTGGCTTAAAAGAGTTTCGCAGTCATATCGGAATGCAATATTTGCTCATAGAGATCTAGTTCTAGTATCAAAAAGTTTATGAAATATTTAAGCAAAGTTTGTGGACGTGGTCTTCATGGACACAAACCTCGATTAAAAGGTATACGTGCTTTTATTGGCGAAAGCAAGGTAAATGAAATAATAATAAATGGCTGATCAATTGGATTTTTACGAATCGCGGTATTTAAAATAACCTTAAGCCTGGATTTCATTTACACAGGCACCGTGTATGAAATTGTCCGTACGATTTTTTGAAATCGTAAGGAGCTACGAGCTACGCCGAGTATGTCTACATTACATGGCCTTCAATCAGTATGAGTCCGTGCGATTTCGCACGTACGGCCACCGTCTACCTCCGCTCAGACGCCGTACGAAAAGGGTAAATTACGGTATGCGTATGCGTATTGCAGTATGCGTGCACCGTACGTGCATCACATTTCAAATGAGATCTAGGCTTTAAAAGAGTTTCGCTGTCATATCGCCATATCATATTTTTCCAAAGAGCTCTAGTTCCAGTATCTTAAAAATTTATGGAATATTTTGGGGACGTGGTCTTCATGGACACAAACCTCGATTTAAAGGTCCTTTCACTTGCGACAGCAAGGTAAATGGAAATCTACTTTGGGTACGTGGTCTTCACAGTGTCTGTGACATAAAAAAGTGACAATAATTGTCGAAGCCAAGATATTTCAATATCTTTAGCATGGTTAAGGCCTATGGTTTCTGGAAAGGGCAAGGGGAGTATTTATTAAAAGCAAGCAATAAGGGTCAAATAACGTGCTTCGAGACAGGTATCGGAAAGGCGTGGTTTTCATTGAAAGCGACACTTTAGACCTTGACCACTGCCAATCGCAAAAAGACTCAAATATAATTGACACCGAGGTTTCTCGACTCGGTTGTGTTTCTTGTGTTGCAGTGTACGAGGATCTCTTTTTACATCGACTAGATCTAGATACATATAGTTGCTCATGTATATAGGGCCCTAGTGTTACTGAAATTATAAATTCATTGAAAACATTTTAAGATTGTTTAATTCAAAGTCGATTTACGTGGCGGTCGACAATACTGTGATGAAAAATTTCCCGCAGATGGGTGACAGGTAGCCTATAGATTCGTAATTTGTCCATGTTTAGCCTAAATTGTTTTCTGAATATGTGATTCTATTAAAATAGCTAGACTTCCACTGTGAACGGGTGTCGTAAATCAACTGGCTTATTTAAATAACCAAAATTTAAATTCCCCAATCTGACCCATATCTATCATCAGTTTCTCCTATTGTTTTTCTTCAATGTTAAGTCACCGGTGCTTCTTATATCCGCCAATTGATCGTGCATACGCGCCTCCCGTTCTTGGGACGTCATTGAAACCTGGGATGGGTCTCATCTTGTAAAGGTGAAGTCCCATCCGGCCATTTTGAATCTAAGGTAAACAGTTACAGCAGTTCTCCGAGAAATATAAAAGAAAAGCGGGCCAATATGAATGTAGAAGATGACTTTGAAGAATACATGGGAAAACAAGGTCTCTCTCTCTCTCTCTCTCTCTCTCTCTCTCTCTCTCTCTCATATAATTAGATGGCCGAAGATATGTGAAAAGACAGAGAAAGATCAGTCTTTAGCAAGTTTAGGCCTCAAAATATTTAACTTGGATACTAGTATACCGTTTATACATGTCCATAGTATTTAATATAGTTTAACAAATGGATTTTTAATTGCCTCTGTACAGTACATGTAAAAATCAATTTATAAATTAATTGCCCCTGATGAAGGAGTATAAGCAGAAAGCTTGGACGTTTTTGTTTGATTTCTTTATTTTTAAAATTAGTCTATTAATAAAAATATTTTTGATATGTCCATAGTACTAGTAAACATGAATGATATAATTATGCAACACAAGAAAATGACTTGATTGCTGCGATCACACTAATTGCACAGTGACCAGTTTAACTTGATGTCTCTGAAGAAGTTAATGGAATACTTGGAATGAAATTCAATGTTTCCTCTTCCTACAGAGCCTGAGCCTGAGGTGCGACCACAGCGACTGTCACTACACATGATTGTCAGGAGACACCTGCCGCCTGAAGCTGCTGACTGGCCACAGGACCTCATGTAAGCCCAATGGTACACAGTGCACTTGGAAATAGTCAGCATCTGAGTGCATTGTTGAAAACACTGAAGTTTTCTGGTATATTAATGAATAGAGCAGCACATTGTAATATACTAGGGTAAAAAGATTATTACAAGCACTTGATGAATGGAACTGATAAGACTGAGACTTCAGACAAATTATGCATTTTGCCTTTCAGTGTGGAATCACTAAATAAAATCACCCATCTGAGGTTAGACAGAGAGAATATTGGAGACATTGATGGTCTAGAACTTCTGGGGAAGTCTGTCACCAACGTCTATCTGCAGCAGGTAGGATTATAACAAAATTTACATGAAGCAAACTTTATTTGGAAGAAAGTAGAAAAGACAGTGGATTCCATTTCTTTCATGTTTGCTTTTTGAGGAAAAAATTGCTCCTTTTTGTTGCATTAACTTTGCAGTAGAAAATACTTTGACAACAGTAGCTCCTAGCAAGATACTAGTATTTGAATGGGGTGACATTTTCTATAGTTAAACGTACACTTTATCATTTCTAGATTAAATTTTTTTCATTTGCAAAGATTTGTTATTGTAGTTGAAAGTAGCCTAACGATTGATCATTCTGGCAAAAAGAGGAATTATTCTGAACACAAAGAACTCACTCTGTACATGTAGAGCTACATGTATGTTAATTACTGAAAACTTTTCCATAATTTACATTCCATTCTTAACCTGCTCACTATGAGAAGCCAATGACTTTTTAAATTCATACCAAGTTGCCACTGACTTTTCTTAAGGTGAGCTGTGTTTTTCTTTCAATATAATTTTGATTCATAATGATTTTTGTTTTCAGAACAAAATCAAGAGAATTGAGAACCTTGATTGTCTCCATTCTCTGCGTTTCCTCACTTTGGCTGGAAATAAGATCAGGACAATAGAAAACCTGATGTGTTTGCCAAAGCTGGCATTTCTTGATCTGTCTGAAAACTTGATAGAGACCTTGGATGTAGGTACGTCACCCCCTAACTATTGTAACACAGTCTGGCTGTGGCTGGGTCTGTCTGTAAACAGAGTACATATTGCATGTACTTGTTACAGACAAATATCTTAAGAAAGATGCCATATTAGCACCTAGATATAAGTGAAAACAGATCAGTCCATTTGAAATTTAGTTGTAAGCTAGGAACTCGGAAATATTTCATGGGTCCTAGTTTTAAGACAGGGATGATGTACAAAGGAAAACTCTATTATCAAGCACATTTACAATGCATTTGAATAACTTGCTTAAAATCTTTGACAAAGGAATTATTTTATCACTTCTAGAGGAATTACCGCAGTCCTTGATAATCCTGTCCCTAAAAGAGAACCAGTGTACCTCAGAAGATGGCTATAGGTATGTGTACTGCTGTCACTGGTAATAGACAACTTGAGAAATTACAGAGTACTGTTTCTGGAAGTCAGTACAACCACATCACATCATTATATTATTATTATTATTATTGATAAGTTATTTGCTTCTTTCCTTTTTTTGAAGGATTTAGATATTTTTTACAAGTGTGAGACTACTATTATAATAAAAAGTTATGCTGACTTTTAAAACCATGCCTCTTAATAATATCTGCCCTGTCTGTATTACAACACCAGGCCTCGGTTGATAAAAGAACTGCCCAAACTGCGCCAGCTGGATGGAGTGGAGGTCAGGACATCTGAGAAGAGGGCTGTGGGTTATGTTATATCCAGTGATGAGGAGGAAGAGGAAGAGGAGGAAGAAGAAGAAAACAATGTTGATGATGCTGCTGATGTTGAACACACCATAGAGCAAATCAAAGGTTATTTTATGTGAACATTTATGAAATATAGAAGCTGCTTCAGTTTTTTTGCCGATAGGTTTGGTTTGTGATTAAATGTGGGGGAAAAAAATTATTCTTTTTGCCCTTAAAGGCTTGAAATATGTAGGTATTTATTGGGTGCCAAAAAGATTTATCTCTGATGTGGCTGTTTACGAAGTCAAACTGTTTTTATAAAGTCATTACGCCAAAGGGATAATTAAAAGACTTATATGCCTTAAGAAAGAAATGTTATGTTGATATAAATAGGTATTTCATCTTATTCCAGGTGTCTTCAAAACACTCACCTCAGATATGTTGTTAAGATCACAGCAGCGTCTTGAAGACACACTTAAAGAACACAAACTTCATAATGTAGAACTTGAAGCAATCCGCTGCCAGTCTGCAATACCAGAGTTGGCTAGCTCAAGGGCATCTAACATGTCTGATAGCAGAATTCCAAGTGCACTATCCACAGGCTCAAGGTCATCAACAGGAGTATCTGGGTCAAGGTCACCATTAGCTCACCCAGTGTCACCAACTAGTCGCTCTGGATCAAGATTGGGATCACAAGGAAGCCCTCTTCCACCAATTCCGACTCAGAGCGAGAGGTAGTACACCTTACATCTATCACGTTACCGCAGTGCACCATTTACCCAGTAAATCACATGCTCACAAACACAGCATGTCTGCAAGCAGAGGAAGGTCTACTGTTTTTGCCCTGTTTAAGGCAGTAAACAAGACCACACTCCACATAGCAGGGCTCGGTTGAACAGCGTGCCAAGCATAATGCACCTGACTGTTCTCTTGTCTGCGTTCTTAGATTTTTTTCATCAGTGGAGTGCAAAAATTCAGAGGCAGCTCTCGAGAAATATTGAGTACATTTTTTGTACAGTTGTTTTATGCCAGAACTAAGATGCAGGTTTTTCATCTTAATGGAATTTTAATTTTATAAGTGTTTTTGTCTCAGTTAAAACATTATGGCAAGTATTATTTCTGTGTTTGCAAGCGAAAATTAACATTTGACAATCGGTTAATTAATATCCAATTTGATGAAAAAAAAAGAATGAAAAAATGTAAGAATACATGCATACTTGTAATTACCAACCGTTCTCTTTATTAACAACTGAAACACAGCACTGTAACACTGTCGAGGCTAATAACAATAACAAAGTACTACAACGTTGAAATTTACAGCCATTTTTCGTTTTTGTAACAGCCTTTTTAGCTTTTTTAAATAACTTGAAAACTCCCCTGAAGCAGAGTAAGCACCTGTGACCAGCTGGCCATCAGAATGTATGGCCTTGTTATGTACACGACTGTCACAGTATATACATGGCAATATTACAGTTGACGTTTGTGTACAATTATGACTTGAAACATTGACAGCACAAATGTTTCACTCGAACTAAGATTTCAGCGCAGCCAAAGTTTTCATGCTATCTTTAACAGTTATTTCAGTTTTAATGATTGTGGAAATACAACTTATTTTTACATATAATGATGGTTGGAAAAGAAGAAACAAACAAACTTTCTGATATACAGACTTTATGCTTTTGATGACATATAAAAGTTAATAAATTACACTGCTTAAGAATTATCTCTACACCAAAAGCAGTCAATTTTCACTGCTTAGACTATTATGACGGCTTTCTCATTGCATTTGCAACCTGTAATTTAGAGAGAAATATACCCAGTTGTATGACAGGTTTGTTATTAAATAGAATGTTTGTACTGCACATTAAATTATTTATTGAAAAGTTTGCACATGTGGGGAGAGATCAACAGAGAATGGGCCTATTTTGTTCATTTACCAGTCAATCACTGGTGATAAAATTGCTTTATTTACTGAGTGGTCTAGATTGAAGCATCCAGAGTATACACATCCCTTGACTATATTTCAAGATCATTTACAAGGAAACTGTTGCAGCTAATGACAAAACACTGAAAAGAATACTGTTGTAAGACAGCAAATCAGTGAAAAAAAGAATTCAACTGACCAATAATCATGTCAGTCATCATGCATAAGATCTTTCAATTGGAATATTCCCTGCCAACTGGGTTCACCGTTTATGAATTTACAGCAATTTTCCATATTTATGTTTTGTAGTTTACATTTTCCAGTCTGTCTTTAAAGAAAAATGACCCACATTCCAGTTCAGGTGATGTAATTACTAAGAGAAGTTAGTATCAATCTAGTTCCATCTCTGCTGTGCTAGCTTCTGAAGGTGGCTGCTGCTCATTCTGTTCTCCACTTTTCTGTCCATCTCCCTCCCCAGCAGCCGTCTGCTCGCCAGCTGCAGGGTCTGCTGTCTTTTCATCTTTCTTGTCATCTTTTGGGGGCTCTTCTTTAGGCTTTGGCTTGGGTTTATTTAATATTGGGAAACACAGTCTATGCAGTGCCTGAAAAGAGGAAAATGCTTTTCTGTAATACATGTGCATTCAGCAATTGACCAAACAGACAAATCTTTGATGAGAGGGGATTTGAATTTAACAAAGAAGCTTCCCAACGTAACCTGCACATGAAGTATAATCCGAGATGATTAAAATTTTCAATCATTACTAATAAAAATAAAAAATAAAAATAAAAAAAAAAGAGAGAGAAAATCTATTTATGTTGTAATAATACTAAAAATGTTATTCTGATGCTACATACCTCTTTTTCAGAGTTTATCTGAGATGCTAATACCGCTGGATCTTTGTGTTTAGGTAGTTGTGAGCTGAGATTGAACTGTTTGTCAAACCAATCCTGTTTTTCCTTGAGGCATTTCTCCACTTTCTTCATCTCAGAGGCCTCAATGTGCTCATACTTCTCGTCCTAAAACAGAATCAGTCAACATTTGATCTTTTAATTTCCTTTAACTCTTGATTATGAGCAAGTTTAGGAAGTTGCTGGATTTTTTATGAACAGTCAAAAAATGGTAAAAAAAAACTGGGGGACTCCTCTTTCAAATATCTCAGTTTTCATCACTACAATAATCAAAATATATCTTCAATTCCAGACACTGTTAAAATTTGGCCTCAAAATATTTTTTCTTCTTTTTGTTCATTGTTTAATAATTATTATTTCAATAACATGATTGCTGTTGAATCAATAAGGAGAGATGAACATATAAGTGAGGAGTAATTACCTTGGCATTGTATTGATCCAAAGCCTTGCGGATTAACTGCAGCGCTCCACCAAGCTGTTCAAATGCCTGAGGCCTTTCATTAAACTCACGGAATCTCTTCCCTGGTGGGTCACCAAGTTTCTGCAGATACGTCAGAAAATAATCCCCAGTTACACAACAATTCACTCAACCAAATTAATCAAGGAAGAAACAGCTGAAACTCAGCACTTACAGTACTCAGTTAAGTATATAGTCTAATCAATTTTCATGTAATACAATTTTTTAAGAAATGAGTTTCTCATAAAAAATCTGATTCTTTATGCTACTATAATCAATTTGCATATAATAATTAAAAAAAAAAAGTTTCTCATAAAAAATTTGATTCTTTGTACTTGTAAGGATAATGATCACAGAAACTTCACAGAATCAAACTACATCTCTTTTTCCCTTCTTATGTGACCCAATAATCCAAGACATTTACCTTTAATTCAGCTAGTTTATCTATGTACACGGATTTCTTGCAGTCTTCCCCATCTTCATACAGCCAATCCTCTGTCTCCGTCAAAATCTTAGAGAACTGTTCACGGTCCTGAAACATGGATAGATATCATGATAAAACTGCACTGCCAAACACAATTTTATCTAGGATATTGGCTCACACTTCTTTATGTTTTAAATTATTTTAAAAAATTGTCTTTGAAATGTACTTCATTTGTCTAATTTAAAATGCACAACATTATACATCAATACAAAATTATTGAATTACTTGAAGCTACGACTGCATAAGATCATAAGATACAGTAAATTTTCATCTTTTTCAAGAGTATTCAACCTTTATACAAAGATATCACTTTCTGGAATAAAATTAGTCTTTCAAAAAATTAGATTCAGAACAAAACAGAAAATGAAATACACTAAATGAATTTATCAGACCAGTACCATAGGGTTGCACCTAAAATCACAATCACACCCTCAAACTTTATGTATAAAACAAAAAAACACACTAATGCATGACAGATTATATATTATCAAAAGTACCAAGACATTCCACAATGCATTACCTTCTCCGTGAGGAATTCTTCCAGTGGGCCAGAAATCTTATCCCTCATTTCATAAACATATTCCTCTACAGAGTTTTTGGCATCAGCACGTTCTTTCTCAAGTTTGTCACTCATAATCATTTTAGCCTAGAAAAATAATAATGTTTAGTATCATGCTTTAATATTCTGTTTTTCTAATATTCAAAGCGAATGGTCCTTAACCAGTTAATGATTCATTTAAAAAATCAGCATTCTTTCATAATAACTAAAATTGACAAGATGAATTCATAGTAACTAAAAAAATTCAATCTTGTATTTTCATACAAACCATATTTAAAACATAAAAACCAATTTCAAATTAATAGATTTCAATTCATCCTGTTGTAGTTTCATCCAATTAAAGAATGGAAGTTAGATCAGAGACTGAACAAACAGGAACAGTGACAATTAGTTCAGTTCCCTGAGGAAGACTATGGCTGTATTCCCAGAGCTTTTAGATCGATCTATCCCCGCGGGAAGTCTCACTAGATTACTGTCAGATAATCCGGCTTAAATGTCCGTCCCGCCTACTACAAGCTGGAAAGGGGTAATTAACTTTTGTGTCCGCCCGGCTGACAGCTATTTAGCGTGAAGCCCCAGGGAGTTAGGTCGATCTAATCTATGGAAATGGGGTGTATGAGATAGGGAAAAACATCAAGGCTTATACTACCTGTATGAGAGTGCCCAGTATGTAATTTTACTTCCATTCATGTATTGAATGAAATCTATTTAAAGGTTATTCAAAGTATAAAACAATTACTGCATCACTGGTTCTTATGACATGACTTCAAACCATGTTTGTTTTCAGTTTTCAATTCAGTAACAAGACACCATGCACCCTACCTCCTCTTCTATCATCAAATTCAGAGTATTTTTATCCAATCCCGGCACATTAGAGTCAACTGACAGGTCTATCGTTTTCACTTTCACTTTGTTCTTCTTTGCTTCTTTTTTATCATCTTTCTTCTCATCCTTCTCTTCTTTCTTCTCTTCATCCTGCAATAGGAATCATTTACTGTTTATTCCATCTTTCTTTTATATAATGACCTAGATTCAAATATGCAATTAGACCCTAATAAAATTTGTCCTTTTTTCTGAAAGCTATAATAATTTTAAAACAGCAAGCATTACTTCATCAAAGCTCTTGCCTAAGTAATTCCACTGAAATAAATTTAAAAACATGATAACCTTTGAAAGGTGATATGGCAATCATCACCAATACCTGCAGAATGTACAAAATAGACTTTTTACCTCTTTAACTTGACCTTCACTAGGTTGATCCGTTTGCATTGGAGTCTGAAACAAAAACGTACAATTAGCTTTTTGTTACACTGGGTGCGGAATATCAATTATGACAGCAAACATGAGCTACATTTGAAACCAGTGTACTTTTCAAATATCTTAACGTACACTTTGCTGAAATTTACTGTGTCCAGTATACCTACCTCTTCAGCATTTTCTGTTGGTTTTGCCTCTCCACCTGCAGGACTAGATTCTCCTTCTTTAGGGCCATTTTGCACTGTCTCTACCTTTTCATCAACCTCCATGGGCTCTTCCTACATCATATCAACAAACATACAGAGTTATCTACAGTTTATCTAGGAATTACAAATTAAAGTATAAAACATTTTTTGGTAAAAATCATGCGTCTACCAAAAATGTTCAATTGTTTTGTTCATTTTGTTTTTGAAGTATTTATTCAATGGTGGAATCAGCAAATACATTCAACACTTGATCAGGAGATATTTTACAGAAAAAGGACTTTCATGTTGAAAACATTTTATTACACTATGCTAAACCCTACTAAACCCAACAAAGAGCATGTCGTAAAAAAAATATCTACAACTGAAAAGACTTCTGCTCATCACTCATAATTCAACCCACATTTTATATTAATAACATAAAGCATGGACTGTATTATACCATATACAATAAGCCACAATTCCTCACCTGTGATGTATTTTCTATTTTCTCTGTGGTTGTGGCACTGGTAATCTTGAAGATGCCATGAATATCCACTCTGACCTTCACCTTGACCTTGGCACTTTCTCCATTTGGTTGAGGTTTGACATCTTTTATGGTAAAACTACCTATAAGTGAAATAGACATTGAAGATTATTCGAGTCAACAGAATACTCCTGCATTTAAGTTAAAAGATCACATCTAGTGGTAAAACTGTGGTATCTATTCCATTTTACCCCTAAAGGTATGGATATCTTATCTTATAAATATGGTTTCCACAGAAACTATTCCAATTAGTAAGACAATTTCTACACAGCGTGTACTACTTTTTTGCACAAAATATGATCTTAGCTAAATTCACATGGTGCAATAAATTAAATAA